AGAGATGAGGTCTCGCTGCCCAGGCGGGTCTCAAACTCGCGGGCTCAGGCAATCTACTCATCTCAGCCTCCCAAAGGCGCGGGATTACAGGCTGAGCCACCGAGCCCGGCTTATTAATAAACTCTTAATGGGGAGGTACTGGTAAAAGGGTACTTAGAATACCTGAAACTGGGTGATATGTGAAACAAAAAAGAATTTGTTTCTTGCAGTTATGGAGGAGAGAAGCACAAGTTGAGGTGCCGCATGTGATGAGAGCTTTCCTGCTTGTGGGAACTCTCTGCAGAGTCCTGTCCCCTCTCTATATTTTAAATGTTTTACTGAGTACAATATACAAATGGAAAACTGAACAGATAAGTTTGCCACTTGATGAATTTTCCCTAATGGAACACATATCACCAGCACCCAGATCAAGAAACAGAACTCGGTTGGACACTGTGGCTCATGCCTGTTTTGCCCAGGAGCTCAAGACCAGCCTGAGCAAGATAGTGAGAACTTGTCTCTACAAAAAATGAAAAAAATTAGCTGGGCATGGTGGCACATGCCTGTAGTCTCAGCTACTTGGGAGGCTAACGTGGAAGGAGAGAGAGTGTGTGTGTGTGTGTGTGTGTGTGTGTGTGTGTGTTTGTGTGTGTGCGTCCCCTACTAATTCCTGGGCCCCAGGAGCGTTAACGTGGTTAACGTGGAAGGAGAGTGTGTGTGTGTGTGTGTGTGTGTGTGTGTGTGTGTGTGTGTGTGTGTGTGTGTTCCCTACTAATTCCTGGGCCCCAGGAGCGCCTCAGCGGTTCCGCGAGCCCCACTTTGGGAACCACGTCCCCGCCCCGCCTCCCGCTCTTCGTCCACCGCGGCGCCTCGGTCTGCGGCTGCGCACAGAGCGCCGGCCCGCTGCAGCGTGGTCACGTGACCGATGCCGACCCGCCAAGATGGCGGTGTCCTTCCTGGTCTCGCTGTCGCTGGTCCTGCTGCTGCTGCCGCTGCTGGGCGGGTGGAAGCGCTGGCGGCGAGGGGGCGCGGCCCGGCACGTGGTTGTCGTGGTGCTGGGCGACGTGGGTCGCAGCCCCCGCATGCAGTACCACGCGCTGTCTCTGGCCAAGTGTGGCTTTTCCGTGACCCTGCTAGGCTTCTGCAGTGAGTGTCCCGGGGTCTGGGAGGGAGGCTGCGCTCTCAGCCTTTGACTCTCTGCTCTGACCGCCTCGGGAGATCGAGGCGGAAGCCCCCCCTTTGACTTTGCCCCTGAGCTTTTTGAGACTGGAGAAGTGTGTTCTGGCCTGGACCCGCTTCCGGGTTTCTGCCCAGCCTGTGATGGTTGGGTCCCTAGGAACAGCCGCCGTTAATGGGGCGCTTGCCTTATATCAGGACTGTGCTAAGTAAAATCATTGTATGGTCTCACCAAGTTCTCCTGGTGAGTGGAAAGACTGGGAGCAGGTGCGTGACCTGCAGGACCAGTGCTGGCAGCCACATCTGCTGGCAGCTACCCTTGAGACCGACGTGTCTCTTCTTCCTGTCCCTCAGCACAGAGCCTGCAGGCAGGATACGTTTCATTTGCTCCTCGTGTCCAGCTTTCCCCCAGTGTGCAGGGTAGGGGCGCCTGATTCTTAATTGCTCTCCACATTTATTATGTCTTTGCGAGGACCCTAGGAGGAGGGACAGTGGGGACAGCACTGGTGGCCTTCCATCCCTGTTTAGGGTCTGCTATGTCAGGGTGTGGGCGTGGAGGTGGACTTCCTGAGATCTCTCTGTGGTGGGAAAATTCCACCATTCAGGAAATCTACATCAGTTTGAGGGCCTACCATGTGCCAGTTATCATGTTAAGTAAAGTGGTTAAGATTCAGGCCATCCCTCTGTGGGCCTCCTAGAGGAATGTGGACAAGAATGGCCTCATTCTGTTCTGGCTAGTGAGAAACAGAGAGAGGCTTTGAAAAGTCTTATTTTCCAAAACACTCTCCATGATTTAGCCTGGGCTGGGAGATCATCTGACTTTAAATTAGATTGCTGCATCTGGTACGTTAAAGGGAACATTCTCATTTTCAGACTCCAAACCTCATGATGAGCTCTTGCAGAGTAACAGAATCCAGATTGTGAGGCTGACAGAACTTCAGAGTCTTGCAGGTAGGGTGCAGTCAACTCCAGACTCAGAATCTGTGAAGTGTGTGTCTGGGTGGGGGAGCCTTATAGACCGTCAGAAGCTCCTTTGGTAGTCATAGGCCTTTTCTGACTTGCAGTTGGACCCCGACTTCTCCAGTACGGAGTGAAAGTTGTATTTCAGGCTGTGCACTTGCTGTGGAAGTTGATGTGGACAGAGCCAGCAGCCTTCATCTTTCTCCAGGTATGTGTCAGCCTCTGCCTTCCTCTGTGAGAACCACTGTTAACAGTTTTCTTTATTTTCCAGCCTTTTAAAAATGCATAGATTGATAGGTGTGTGCATGTGTGAGTGTAAACTTAAAAACATGAGTCGGAGCCTTGGTATGTGTCCGTTCTATTTATGGTACCCATCTGTGCTATTTTTCTGTGTCATTACAGTTAAAGTCTTAGATTGCACTTTTCGTGTATCTATGTGTTTTGCATATAGTAAATAACTCATTTAATCCTCACAGCAACCGTAAGAAGTAGGTTCTTGTGTTACCTACATTTTAGAGATGAGGAAACCTAGGCCCAGAGAGGTTCTATAAGTAACCTGTCATCACACAGCAAGGATGTGGTGGAGTCAGGATTTGACCCTAAGTAGTTAGTCTGGTTCTAGAGCCATGCTTTGTTTTGAGTTTGAGTCTCACTCTGTCACCCAAGCTGGGTGTAGTGGTACACTCATGGCCACCACAGCCTTGACTTGCTGGGCTCAGGCAATTCTTCTGCCTCAGTCTTCCAAGTAGCTGGAACTAGAGGTGCACACCACCATGCCTGACTAATTTTTTGATTTATTGTAGAGATGAGGTCTTGCTAAGTTGTCCAGGTTGTTCTCGAACCCCTGGGCTCAGGCAGTCCTCTTGCCTCCACTTCTTAGAGTTATACTTTTAACCTCTTCCCTTCATCAGTTTTTTGTTTTGAGTTCCTTCCTTGAGATAGGGTCTAGCTCTGTCGCCCAGGCTGGAGTGCAGTGTCATACTCATGGCCACCATAGCCTCGATCTGCTGGGCTCAGGTGATCCTTCTGCCTCAGCATTCCAAGTAGCTGGAACCACAGGCATGTGCCACCACGCCTGGCAAATCTTTTGATTTATTGTAGAGATGAAGTCTTGCCATGTTGCTCAGGCTGGTGTCGAACCCCTGAGCTCAAGTAGCCCTCTTGCCTCCGACTCCCAAAGTGCTGGGATTATAGACTTGAGCCACTGCACCCGGCCCCCTTCATCAATTTTTAACATATAGAGGCACTTTCTCATGCTCCTGTAATCCCAGCTACTTGGGAGCCTGAGGTGGGAGAATCGCTTGAGCCCAGGAGTCTGAGGCTGCAGTGTGCTATGACTGTGACAGTGTACTCCAGCCTGGACAACAGAGCTAGACCCTGTCTCAAGGAAGGAAAAAAAAAAAAAAAAAAAGGCAGCAGCAGCAGCTTCTTCTTTTAATGGGCTTTGTTGAATTCCAACATATGATGTGCCATAATGTATGTAGTCTCATCTTAATGGACACTCAGATTCTTTTTACTTTTAAAATAGTGTGGCTAAGAGCACAGTGAACACACATGGGATTTCTTTCTTCGGATAAATTTTTAGCAGTGGGATTGCTTGAACAGAGTTGATGCACTTGGAAAATATTATGGCATGTTGCTGGAGAGTCTTAAGAGTAAGGCTGGGCCATCTTCTCCACCGTCAGGGGGTGGTGCCTCTCTCCTCCATGGTGATGTCACCAGTTGTTGGTAGGAAAATTTGCATTATCAGGTGAACAGTGCCATCTCTTTGTTTCATTTTTTTGTCTGCTAGATTATTGATGATCTTGGACTTTTAGGTTGGTCAATTCTGTTTCTTTTATTACTTTTTGGGGGGGGGGTCAGGTCTTACTCTGTCACCCAGGCTGGAGTGTAGTGGCATGATCACAGCTCACTGCAGCTGCTACCTCCTGGGCTCAGGAGATCCTTCCACCTCAGCTTCCCAAGTAGCTGGAACTACAGGCTCACACTACCATGCCTGGTTAAGTTTTTGATATTTTTGTAGAGACAAGTTCTGTGTTGCCTAGGCTGCTCTCAAACTCCTGACTCAAGCAATCCTCCCACCTTGGCCTCCCAAAGTTTTCCTGGGACTGCAAGTATAAGCCACCGCACCTGGCCTCTTTTATGACTCTTTGCACCTGTTTTGGTGGTGGACCGATCTTCTTTTTATTATCAAGAGCTCTGTAATGATGAGCTCTGTCATGTGTGCTGCAACTGTTCTCACTCCATTTATTGTTGGCCCTGGCCCAGGTTCCTCCTCTTCCTTCAAGTCTCTTTCCTAGAACCCCCCGGGCCTGCCAGCCATTGCCGTCTGCTGGTGTGTGGGCTGCCTTTGTGGAAGCAAGCTCGTCATCGACTGGCACAACTATGGCTACTCCATCATGGGCCTGGTGCATGGCCCCAGTCACCCGTTTGTTCTGCTGGCCAAATGGTGAGAGTTGGGGGAGCAGCTGCGGGGTGAGCGGGAAGAAGGGCCCTGGGGGAGGCTCTGGAAGCTGCCTCCCTGTGCTCTGCGGTGGTGGGGGCAGGGCTGGTGCACTGGGCTGGATGCTGGTTACGAGTGCCAGAAATAGGCCTTGGCAGAGGAGGGCATCTGTTGGCCCCTGGAACTGAAGGTCCAGAGAAGTGACTGGCCTCGAGCTCAAACAGTCTAACTGGGACCTGGCCCACATCTCTCCTGCATCTGTTCCGCACTCCCCCCAGCTCCAGTCCCTACCCCTCAGGCTCAGTGGGGAGAGCGAACCTCTCTGATGGGCTTGCGTGGATCACCTGCTTCCTCTCTTCTGTCCCTGAGGACATCCTGTCAATTCAGGCTTGGGACAGGTGCGCTATGAAAGTGTGGGGTCCCAGGTGCATCCGGGATGGGGTGTGTGGACAGGGTGTGTGAGTGCAGGTCCCTAAATGAAAGCCCGGGGCTGTCGTTGGAAGATGGAGAGGCAGGCCCAGGTGCTGCAGCTGATGAGGCCAGGAGGGAAGCAGAGCCTGTGGGCATAGGTTGCACCTGGGGCAGGAATAAGTGTGTGTGTCACACTCGTAGCCTGAGGGTAGCATTGGCCTCCTGTGCAGTTTCAGCCTCAGGATATCAGCCAGCTGTCACCTTTGCCCCATGGGTAGTGGTAACAGCAGTGGAAGAGGCAGCAGCTAGCAATTGTTGAACACCTGCTGCATGCCCAGCCTCAGGCTGAGCCCTTTTTGTAATTTATCCTGGCAAGTTTCCACGTACCCTAGTGAGGGTGTCCTGTGATGCTCTCATTTTCTAAGTCAGGAAACCAAGGCTGAGGGTGATTACACCTCTTGCCACCCAGCTTTCTCTGCATCTGGGGGAGGAATACACCATCATACCCTGACAGCGTTAAATAGCCTGGAATCATCACTCCTTCCCCTGTGACCAGGGCTGGGTCTCAGTTTGGCGTGGACGCGTCTTTAATGCTGCTTGGTGTCTGCCGTGCTCCCTCTGTACCTTGCTGAGAGCAATAGGCCTCACAGCCTCCACGGGCATGGCCCAGGGTGACCCAGGGTGGGCTAGGGTCACTAACAGGGCCTTTGCTATATTTCCTCCTTCTGTAGCAAGAGAGGGTTTTCACTTTGGCAGCAATAGACAGTTTCCTTTTAAAGTAGCTGTTTAAGCAGACAAGTGACACGGCATACAGAAAGGTGTGCAAGAATGCTGGGGCAGGTGACTCCTATGCCAGGTGCCCTGGCTCCACAGCCTTTTGTGTGTCAAGAGGTGTCGAGCCCCATGGCCGCTGTGGGAGTGGTCTCGGCCAGGACTCTGGGCTGACGCCCGGATATATTTCAGGTATGAGAGGCTCTTCGGGCGCCTGTCCCACCTGAACTTGTGTGTGACCAATGCCATGCGGGAGGACCTGGCAGAGAACTGGCACATCAGGTACCAGGGCCTGGGACGACATCAGTCTGAGGGTGGTGTGGGGTCCTGGGATGGCCGGGTAAGAACCATGGTGCCTGTTACGTCATGCTGGTGAGGCCTCAGGGGACACCGGGGCTGGAGATAGTCACTGGCTCTGGGAAGCTGATGGGGCAGGCAGAGCTTCTTTCGCAGCAGCTGGGTGGTCTGAGCACACCTCTTTGAGCTTGGCCAGGGATTCTAAAGTGTCTTACTGTCATTGTGGACGACTTGGATTCCCCAAGCATCCATCTCTTCTGGATCCTTCTGGGCCCTCTGCAGAGGCCTTTCTCCAGCCCTTCCTGAAGTGCCCTGTGATCTCATTGCAGAGCTGTGACCGTCTACGACAGGCCGGCATCTTTCTTTAAGGAGACGCCCCTGGCCCTGCAGCATGAGCTCTTCATGAAGCTGGGCCGCACCCATGCTCCATTCCAGGCCCAGTAGGTCTCGAGTCCCCACCCACCTTCCCATGTGCTCGCTGCCTTCCTGGCCTCCTCTCCCGTCTCCTGACTGCAGACCTCATCAGGGGTTGGTGAACTAAGCCGTGGGCCCACTGCGGGGTCTTAGACCTGTGTGTTCCCCGGAGTGTCTCATGGGGCTAAGCAGGGGACCTTTGTGCAGGTCTCCACACATCGTGTGCCCCTTGGGAAGCTGGTGTGGATGGGAGGGGCATTAAAGGATAAGATTGGTGAGTCCTGCAGAGGAAGGACTGAGTCTGGTTTGCGGTTGTAACCTCAGCATCTGGCAACATTGCTGGCTGGTGTGGTGGCTCACATCTGTAATCCTTGCACTTTGGGAGGCTAAGTTGGGAAGACTGCTTGAGCCCAGGACTTTGAGACCAGCCTGGGCAATAAAGTGAGATCCCCATCTCTACAAAAAGTAAAAAAAAAAAAAAAAAAAAATATATGTATATATATATATATTGTTAAAGCAAGCAAGCAAGCCCAGGCATTAGTGGCAGGGTCAGCCGGTGGTGCTGGTGTAGCCAGGCACTCTGACCTTCGCGGCTGTCCTGGGCCTGAGGGCTGTTCTGTAGTTCTCATGGGCTTTTCTCTGTTCCTTTAGCTTTGAATCCGGGGACCCAGTCATGGAGCGGTCTACCTTCACGGAGCGGGACACTCAGAGTGGGAGGGTGACACATCTCCATGGGCGGCCAGCCCTGCTGGTCAGCAGCACAAGCTGGACAGGTCTGCCTGACCCCCGGGCCCCTGGTCTTGCGTGCCAGGCACCTGGCGAACCTGGGTTCTCCTTGCTTCATGCTTGCCTGTGCCCCACAGTCCCCTGATGGGAAGGGGAGGGCGCAGGAGCTGAGGGGGCGGCTGGAAACAGGCCTGTGACACTCCGTTCACTTCTCATAGAGGATGAAGATTTCTCCATCCTGCTGGCAGCATTAGAAAGTAGGTGTGTGGCTGTGGCCGGGAGTTCTGAGCTCAGCAGGCCCTGTGGCATGTTTCTGCCCCTGGGCCACTGGGTGGCTAGCCTGGGGACCACGCGAGTGGCGGGGGTGGGCAGCTCCGGGTCCCCATTTGGGTCACTGAGTGACCAGACCAGCCCTTGGGCTAAAGTGCCGTGTCTGGGGTGTGTCCCAGGGAGGCCAGTGGCTTCTGCCCAGTGGCACCCCTCCCCCTCTGACAAGGGACCCTGGTTATCGTTTATTTATGTTTCTTATCACAGAGTATGAGCAGCTGACTCTCCATGGAGGCAGTCTTCCTTCTCTGGTCTGTGTGATAACAGGTACATCTGAATTTAGCCACCAGGCATGGGGGTTTCAGTCTTTCCTATATGCTTCCTTGTCTCCTTAATCTTCACTGCATCCACTTGACCTGGGAAACTGAGACTTGAGGGCCTTCAGGGCAAGGCATGGAGCCCAGATTTGAATCTCAGCATAGCTCAGATACTGAGCTTGCCACGTGTCCAGTGGTTTTCAGGTATCTTTTATTTTCCACACGGAAGAGCCTGTGACCAACATGATACTGCTTCCCGAGTCATTCAGTGAGAAGACATGGGAAAGGGCATGGGAGGAGGGTCCTGGCCAGCTGCTCATCCTGCTGCCTCCCCTCCTCCTGATTCTGGGCTCCTGGGGGCAGCTTGGAGTCCACCGCACGCACGTGTGTTGCCTGGGGTTATCCACCTAGTTTGCTGCTTGGGACTATCTGGCTGCAGGCTACAGGGCCATGCCTCAGTCGTTAGGGCACCCACCCCTGCGGAGTCTCGGGGCTCCTGGGTTGTTTATGGAGAGCTCCAATGGGGCTGCCTGAAGCTGCCGAGGGCCAGGGCTCCTGGGAAGGTGCTGCTTGTGTCCTAGCAGCAGCGACCCTGGCTAGAGACTGTGGCAGGGACAGACACAGTCTGCTGCAAGTGACTGCTTATCTCTGTGGAGGCCGAGGGCCTCTGAAGGAGCACTATAGCCGCCTCATCAGCCAGAAGCACTTCCAGCACATCCAGTTCTGCACCCCGTGGCTGGAGGCCGAGGACTACCCCCTGCTTCTTGGTAAGGGGTCGGTGGAGGCTTGGAGAAGGCGGGCCTTAAGGGGGGCATTGGGTGGGCGGAACAGACTTTCTGAAAAGGTTGCTTCAGAGGCCACTTGGGGCAGTGACACTGACTTGCCAGGAACCCCTGGCTGAACTCTCCAGAGACAGCTGCTTCCTGGTTCCAGGCCCTCCCTGATGGCCCTGAGGCTGTGTGCCAAGGGGTTTGGGAGGCTGTGTCCTCTGGCTTTCCTCCCACATCCTCATTCAGTCCTGCTTGTTCCCATAGGAGGGCTGGGCCTGGGGCCACTGCTCCCCCCAGGTGGGAGGGCAGTGGCTTTGAGAGGTGCAGGGACACATCAGACAGCAAGGCCTCTCTCTCCCAGGAGATGGTCCTTCCTCTGTCTCTTGTCTTTGATCCTGACGTGTCTGTAATGCCTTGTCTTCCAGCTGAGTAAGCAGTTGGGCTGAGAGCCTTTGGTAGGCAGGAGTTTCCAGCTAGGCTTAAGTCATGTTATAAGTTTTATTTATTTTTACTTTTTGGTAGAGATGAGTTCTCACTGTGTTGTCCAGGCTGGTCTCAAACTCTTGGGCTCAAGCAGTTCTCTCTCAGCCTCCCAAAGTGCTGCGATTACAGATAGCATGAGCCACAGCCTTAAGTTATTTGGCTTTATTTTCACAGTTGGCGGCTGGCTTATGTTGTGTCTGTGATAGGTGGTTTTTTCCCCTTTTTTATTGTGACAAAATATATATAACAAAATGTAACCATTTTTAAGGATACAACTCAAGACCCTTGTTATATCCAGAGCTTCACCACTATCTATGTCCAAAACCTTTTTATTACCCAACGGAAACTCTGTATCCATTAAACAGTAACTGCTGAGTTCTTTTAGATAGTGCTTAAGTAAAAAAAAGTGTCAACTTCAGTAAGAGGCGGTTTCTGGATGGGGCCCAAGTGGTCAGGAGTGGGGCTGTGAGGCATGACCGTCTCCACCTGGCTCTTGGCCAACTCAATCAAGCCACTTGTGCCTGGGGCTGCCAGGATGTTGTCCGATCTCCATTCCCCACGGGTCCTGGGAGGGCTTGTGCTTACAGGGTGGAGGCCAGACTCTGACTCCCTCACCCCGCAGGGTCGGCGGACCTGGGTGTGTGTTTGCACACGTCCTCCAGCGGCCTGGACCTGCCCATGAAGGTGGTGGACATGTTCGGGAGCTGCCTGCCCGTGTGCGCCGTGAACTTCACGTGGTAGGTGCGGAAGCCGAGTCTTCCCGGATCAGAGTCCCACAGCAGCAGCTGAGGGGGCCCCCGCAGGCTGAGCTGCCCAGGAGATGCCCCCAGTGAGACCATGCTTCTGGTCAGTCCAGCAGACAGGAGGCTGTGAGTTGGCGCCTGTGAGATCGTGAACCCCACTGAAGCGGGGGGCGTCCACTTATAGCTCATGTTGAATAAAAACCCCACAGCTGCAAGACCTCTCCCTGGGCGCTGTGCACGGGGTGGACAGGGGCTGGGGTTGCACAGCTCGCATGGTTTTATTTCTGTCTCGCCCTATCTCCCCATTGGCTGAGCTCACGAGCCGGAACAGAATCCTAGATGAGTGTCATGCTGTGGCCCCACTTGACCTGCAGAGATGGTGTCTGGGAAGGGAGGGTCTAGAAACAGAGGCCCCAGCACAGGGGAGCACTCGGTCTTGCTTGGAGCCAGCCTCTGGGTCTCACTGTCACCCAGGCTGGAGTGCAATGGCACCAACACACTCACTGCAGCCTTGACTGCCTGGACTCAAGCAGTCACACCCAGCTCATTTTTTTGTATGTTTTATAGATACATGGTTTCACTATTGCCTAGGCTGGTCTTGAACTCCTGGGCTCAAGCAGTCCTCCTGCCTTGGCCTCCCAAAGTGCTGGGATTATAGGCGTGAACCACCATGCTGGCCCAGACACAAGTTTTGAGTCTGCTGCACAGCACAGAATATCTATGTGCCCTAGGGCCCCTTCTCCATGTGGCTTGGTCATCTGATGTGTTCTTCTGTCCTTCCGGGCCTTTTCCATTCAGATGGCAAATCAAAATAGGCTCACAGAAATTAAACCGGCCGACACTGACCCCCAGTCTTGCCAGAGTGCAGGGTGGGCTAGGGGCCCAGGTGGGTACCACAGGGTTCCGGTGTCCTCTCCAGGCAGCCCTCAGGCCTCCCTTGGTCTCTCCGCAGTTTACACGAGCTTGTGAAACATGAGGAAAATGGCCTGGTCTTTGAGGATGCGGAGGAGCTGGCGGCTCAGCTGCAGGTAGCCACGTCTGCGCCACACCAGGGCTTGGGGGAGCCTAACATTGAGCCACAGCCCCTAGTCCCTTCTTCCCACTTACTGGGGCTGTGGCAAGACCATGTGGGAAAAAGCCATGGAAGGAGCAGAGGTCACAGAAGCTGGCCTGTTGTGCTGTGTCCCTTTTGGAATGACCAGCATGCCCCAGAAAATCAGGACATGCCCTTGCCTGCCCTCTGCTGATGGCGCATATGCCATACACATTATGCCAGGGGGCAGGGTTGCAGTTGAGGGATTGATCAGGATCAGGGACGCGAGATGGGGGAGCCTCTGGGACCAGCCTTGAGAGGAGATTCTACAAGGGCGACTTCTCTTATTACAAAAGTAATACGTTGTCACTGACAGTGCACTGTCTGCAGACTTTGTACAGGTCCAAGTATGAAGTCTTTGGGCTTGCCCTACAGTCTCCATTAGAACGACTCCGTAATCTCCTTTAGTCGCGGGAAAGCAGCCACAGACTGGCTGCAGGTGAAGGGGCGTGGCTGTTCCAAGAAACCTTTATTTACAGCCAGCAGTGGGCTGGATGTGGCCCGCAGGCTGTGATTTGCTTCTCCTTGGTTGACCTGGTTTAGCAGAGCTGAGGTGGGACTCTGCTGGCTGGAGGCAGAGGGGGTGCCTCTGGGGAAGGAACAGCAGGCAGAGGCTGGGAGGTGCTCCAGGGCACAGAGTGTGGGAGAGTGGGCTGTGCAGGGCAGTGTCCAGAAAGCGTGCCGTCAAGTAGGAGGCACCGTGGGGCATGAGGGACCTTGAACGCCTGAGGAGAGGGTAGAGACTAGGGAGGGTGCTGCCGGCCGGGACCTGGATAGCGCAGGGAGGGATGCAGGGCCAGTTCTGGTCTTTATGTTTCACAGATGCTCTTTGCTAAGTTTCCTGATCCTGCTGGCAAACTCAGCCGGTTCCGGAAGCATCTCCGGGAGGCAGAGCAGCTTCAGTGGAACGAGAGCTGGATGCGGACTGTACACCCTTTGCTCATGGACACGTGACCCCTGGGTCCAACTAGAACCCAGGACCCCAGCCGCCCTCCCCACAGACTGTTCTCACCTGGCTGCCCAGTCCCTGGTCAAACTCTTTGGACAGTGCCTCCCAGTGGTCATATGTCGGAGGGATGGGAGATTGAGGGGGCTTTTTTCTAATGACCAGGAGGCTGCGGTCCCTCCTGGCCTCTTTGGAGGCTGAGGCACTTCCTCTTCTGTGACCTACCCCCAGTATGACTTTCCTGTCATTTGCTTGTAATTCCTCGGTGTTTTATGTTTCCGCCGCCCCCCCATTCCTGACGTTGTGATCCTGCCTTGGAAACAGGCGCCCAATGGCCCTGTGAACAGAGTGAGGTGTGGCACCTGCTGTGGGTCTCTGGCTTTGCGAGGAGCTGAGGGTCCAGGCTGGATATGGCACACTTGACACACAGGTGCTTTTATTGGCACAAAGGACCTGCTTTTCTTGGAACCAGACTGTTCATTCCTGACTCCAGCTATTTCTGAAGAACCAGTTGCTGGTGGGAGGGGCATCCCACACCCCATAGCTTATGTCTTAGAACATGGTTTGTACTTCCTGGTTTGGAATGGAACATTCTCCAAACATTCAAGCCCAGTGAACGTGTTCAACCTGCTTCTCTCCATAAACAGTTCTTCCACAGTGGGAGCTTAATCGCCATCATCTCGAGAACCATGTGGGGCCTGCAGTGTGAGCTTCAGGATCGCCATCTCTGAGTGCTCTTCGTACGGAAACAGCTTCTGGTTGTGAGGGGGCTCCGTTTCCCATCGGATCCCAGCCTGGCCTGGAAAGAGAGACGCGTCTCAGGATGGTGGCATTTGGGACAGGACAAGCTTCGTGGTGCAGGACCACTGGACAGGCCTGCGTGCCTCCAAGCTGGTTTACCTGCTCACAGATTTCTGGGCCCACCTTGATGCCCAGAATCCGCCTTCAGGATGGGCCCAGGAGCCCCTGCTCACTGCAGTAACCTGCAGCAAGGTTCCCGCCTGTCTGCCCCGTCACCTGCATGGCCCGGGAAGAGCCGAAACCTGAACCTGTGTCTGCCTCACTACTCAGCCAGCCCCCCTCACAGAGTCTAGAAGGGCTTGTGTCCTTGAGAGCACAGGTGTCTGAAGAGCTGTTAGCCAGGATGAAATTTTTTTTTTTTTGAGTTGCAGTCTTACTCTGTCGCCCAGACTGGAGTGCAGTGGCTGCTCCTGGCCACCGCAGCCTCCACCTGCTGGGCTCCGGCGATCCTTCCGCCTCATCCTTCCGAGTAGCCGGAATTACAGGCATGCGCTACCACGCCCGGCTGATTTTTTGATTTATTGTAGAGATGAGTTCTTGCTGCCCAGGTGGGTCTCGAACCCTCGGGCTCAGGCAATCCACTCACCTCAGCCTCCCAAAGGCGCGGGATTATAGGCTGAGCCACTGAGCCCAGCCAGGATGACTTTTTAATCAGTTTCTGGTTATGAGTGAAAAATCAGTTTATAAAAATGAAGGAATAGACATAAAAGTATAAACTGAGATCCAAACATGATGGTTAACTGGTGTATGTTCTAGATTTTCCACCATAGGAATACTAACATGAAAATGATTTTTGTCATTTTTTTAAATTAAAAAACTTTTGAAATTGGATCTTGCTATGTTGTCCCGGGTGACCACAAGTTCCTGGGCCCAAGTGATCCTCCTGCCTCAGCCTCCTGAGCACCTGGGATTACAGGTGTGCCTCACTATATGTAGCTATTTTTTTAAAAAACCAAAAATGGGCTTATGCTGTATGTGCTGTTTTTTTTCTCTTTTTTCTTTTTTTGAGTGGGAGTCTCACTCCATTGCCCAGGCTGGAGTACAGTGGCATGTTCACGGCCACCCCAGTGTCAACCTGCTAGGCTCCGGCGATCCTTCCACCTCAGCCTTCCAAGTAACTGGAACTACAGGCACACACTACCACGCCCGGCTAATTTTTTATTTATTGTAGAGACGAGGTCTCGCCAAATTGTCCGGGCTGGTCTTAAACCCATGGGCTCAGGCAATACACTCGCCTTGGCCTCCCAAAGTGCTGGGATTATAGGCTGAGCGATCGAGCCTGGCCTGTAATATCTTTTATTTTTATTTTATTTTTTTTGAGTCGGAGTCTCACTCTGTCACCCAGACTGGAGTGCAGTGGCTGTTCCCGGCCACTGCAGCCTCGACCTGCTGGGCTCCGATGATCCTTCCACCTCAGCCTTCCGAGTAGCTGGAATTACAGGTGTGCGCTACCACGCCCGGCTAATTTTTTGATTTATTGTAGAGATGAGGTCTCGCCAAGTTGCCCAAGCAGGTCTCTAACCCGTGGGCTCAGGCAGTTCACTCACCTCAGTCTCCCAAGGCGTGGGATCTGTAATATCTTTTAAATGAAAAAAGCAAAGTGCCAAACAGCGCATACAGGCAGGGCTTGGTGGCTCAGCCTGTAATCCCAGTACTTGGAAGGCCGAGGCAAGTGAACTGCTTGAGCCTGTGGGTTCAAGACCAGCCCGGGCAACTTGGTGAGACCTCGTCTCTATAATAAACAAAAAATTAGCTGGGAGTGGTAGTGCATCAGTAGTTCCAGCTACTTGGAAGGTTGAGGTGGAAGGATCGCCGGAACTCAGCAGGTCGATGCTGGGGTGGCCATGAGCGTGCCACTGTACTCCAGCCTGGGCAATGGAGTGAAATTCCTACTCAAAAAAAAAATTACAGATATTTGTTCATGTACATATCTGAAGAAGGACGTCCTTCATTTTAAAGGCTCTATCTGGGGTGCTGTGAGCGGCGTATGCTCATCTGCTCTGTAATGACCAGGCAACCCTCGTGGCAGGGGGATGATAGGGGCAATCGGGTTGTCCGTATCCTCTTGGCAGAGGCTGCTTACAGGCATATCTGTGCACGCGGCTGCAGGGATGGGCTCTGTTAGGGCTGGGGCAGGTTGTTCTGCGCCACAGCTGCTGCTGGGTTGCACACAGAAGGCCCTAGTGGGGCTGTGTGTACCCAGGACTGTGGGCAGGGGGGTGGAATGGAGACGCAGGGGCCAGGTGACCTGTGGGAACTCGGGCCGCTCAGCCTCCCTGTGCTCAGAGTGGTGGGTGAGATGGGATGATGACAGAGTACCCTCACGGGTGCTGACAAGTGTCAGGTCTGGGGACAGTAGATAGCCCACAGTGGGCCATTTCAGGGCTGTGTGTAGCTGGGCCCTTTGCCCCTTCTCTAAAACCACCACTTACTGGGTGCCCATGATGGCCAAGTACCCTGATGTGAGCCTGTCCGGCACGTCCCAAGTGTACCCTCTGAGCAGGTGTCTCCAGGGTGCAAGTGAGGAAAGGTGGAAGGTGGGGACGGCCCAGCCCCACGAGGGTGTGGGTGAGTGGACTGCAGAGCCTGTGCTCAGGGCCGAGTGGGCCAGAACCTTGTCCAGTGTGGACACCGATTGGCTGCTACCACCACCTCCGTCTTACAGAAGAGGAAACTGAGGCCTAAAGGTTTAGGAAAACTACTGGGGCACACAGTGGGGCCGCAGGTCTCACACCCCCCACCCCCCATCACTATGCTGAGCTGCTGACCCCGCCCAGGGCACCCGGCAGGTCCCACCCCACTCAGTGGCCTCTGCCCAGGCACCTCGTGTGGGCATGGGGCTTCCTGGCTTTCCCCCGGGCCCTGTTTTTAATTCCATAGGAGCATCATAGGGACAGCTCAATGGCCCCACAGGTCTGGGCTGCTTCTCTCGGTGTGGGGCTCACTCAGCTCGGTGGTAAACAGCTGGCACGTCTCAGGGTTGCGGATGGTAAAGGCGATGTAGGTGTCAGGGGCCCGCTGGTCTTCCCGGCAGGCAGAGAGCTTCTGCAGGACACCGACCAGCGACAGAACAACTTCCGGGCCGTACAGCACATCTGTGACAAAAGCCTCATGTTATGGGAGGCACACAAGGCTCTGGGTGGACTGACCTTGGCAGTGGGGCAAGGCTCTGGGAAGCAGCATCCTGTGAGAGCCAGGCTGTCAGTTGGGCAGGTTACTCAGGCGAAAAGGGGCCCTGGGGGAGAGGAAGCTGCTCAAAGACTCAACGGAAAATGAGCCAGACTGGAGTCTCTTTGAAGAAAAAATCAGTTGTTTCCTGGTCTAGTTGCTGATCCTTTAATGAAGGAAACCCTGGCCCGCCCAGGACTTTCCCTTCCAGGCACCTCCTGGCCTGCAGGCTGGCCTGTGTGTGTGTGGCGGGGGGGCTGCCCAGGCTCGCAGCTTAGATGCCACGTCTACGTCCCTGCCTCCATGGGCTGTGGGGCCAACCTGGGCTGAGGCAGGGCATGGTGGAACCAGAAAGGGTACTGTGTGAGCTCGGCCACATACCACCTTCTCTCAAGGGCCTCATTGTTGTCCCAGGAGTGGTGGTTCCCTCCTGTGGTCTCTGAAGGACACGGGCACAGACCTGGGACAGAGAAGGCCAGGGCCACAGGGATGCGTGGCGAGGACAGTGACCTTGTACAGCCCTGCACAGGTGGACAGAGCCAGTGATGACAGAGTAGGGGACACAGCTCTCACTCCTGCAGCAACCAGGCCACTGCAACCCCAACCCAGGCATGACCCAGCACTGTGCTGGAGACACACGGAAGAACCATACTGGTCCTGAGAATCATGATGTGCTCTGTGGCCCTGGAAAAACCAAGGACTGCTATGGCTGTTTCTGCCCCCAAATCTGAAGATGCAGGTACAGCCTCATGGGACGTCTAGTGTGAAGTGTCCACCTAAAGCAGTGGGGTGGGGTGGCGCAGCTCTCTTCTCCTAGGAGGGGTGGCTCTGGCCACCTGCGCAGGTTCTGGCAGGACACCTCCTTCAGCTGCTGGAAGATGAGGTCTGCCTATGTGGCTGTGGCCTGAGGCCTGGGGCCTGCTCTGTTCCTCTCAAGCCTTGCTGGGAGCCAGGGTTCACTTCTGGATGGCACCACTGTCTCCCATGAGGGCGGGGGCTCCGGGCCGTCTCAAGAGGCGCACCCTGGAGGCCTGGAGTGGCTCTTCTGAAGCCTCATCATTTCCCAGGCTGGCCCACTTCCCTTCCCTCGGCTGAGAGCTGGGAAGAGCTGCCAGGAAGACACATGCTTGGGCTGCCCAGCTGGGCGTTACCTGCTGCGATGACAACGTCTGGCTGGAAGGCAGAGAGCTGAGGGACCATCACGATGTTCCAGTCCAGCTGGGCCACTGTCACCCGGGGGCTCTCAGAGCTGGTGATGTCTGGCTCTAGCAAGAGGCCGTTGAGAAGGATGTTCCCTCGGAGCTGCTCGAGGACACGGCTGTGACAGTCGCTGAAGATGTAAGTGCTGGGACGGCACACCTTGCAAATGGCCAGGCCCGTGAGGCCGGCCCC